AAAACTGTCAGACCTCGACAGAGTTCTGTCTAGCATCGCACCTGCTTTAAATTTAGATTTCATACCCAGGTTATCATTATTAGTGTGACATGGTGTATTCTTTTGCAGAGGTTTACTGGCTCAGGCAATCATTAAAGCTCAGTCCAGTTCTCCAACATTTACTCACGTTTATGCCGCGCTTGTCTCTGTCATTAATACCAAGGTAGGATACGATAGTATTGAACATATTCTTCTCGAGATAAAATACGATCTGAGTTTGAGATTAGAAATTTTTCCTGGAATCCATTGTTGGTAACAGCATTTCTTAACGTGCTAAACTCTGGTATCCAAAGGGTAAAGACCTACCTAAAATGATCATGTTTTGTGATTGGCTTTCAGAAACAAAAACGACCATTGTTCGTGACTCGTTCTTTAGAAAGACGTTTTCTATAGTTTTATTGTCTTTCATTGTTATAATCAACCAACCACGAGCCTGGATAGTATAGGTAGATGATGACCCTATCCAAATTCTGAGAATAAAATATGTTTTCAGTCTACTATATATTACTTAGTTGCCATAATCTCAAAACTGCGCCAAATGTAAGCAATCTAATGACAGAGTATACAATATTTGTTTAAGTCCACAGTGCCGTGGTTTTTCCACAAACAAAAAGTAGCGATGCCATGAACTGAATCAAGCACACAACTCGTCTATATACGACAACTTAGGTACGTTGTGTGCTTGATTTACACAGTACAACTCAAGTTGTGAACAGGTTGCATGCAACAGTTTTTGGCGAAAGTATAAATCGGCCCTTACAATGTCAGAACAATTAACAAAATACATGTTGAAATGAACATGGCAAGAACCTCTTGTGTATCCAAATTGGATAGCAAGATTTCAACATCTGATATCCAAAACTCAAAACTAGCATAGTACTACGATATTGTGTGAACGTGCAGTACAAGTCCTTGATTCTTTTTTTTCTTTAGTTTCCAAAGATTGGTGAACTTATTTTAAGAAGACTGATTTTGCTCTTTCGCAGATCGTATAGAAGAAATAACAAGGTTTGCAATTGCATCTTTTTATACTCTTTGTATATACTATCGAACGACAAGCGATCTGCTCCAGTGCAGGTAGCAACTATAACAAGACACCTGTGGATTGGATAGGTACCCTGACAGGAATCGAACCTGTGACCATAGATTATAGATCATACCAGATGTCTCACTGTGCATCTATCCCTATGATTTTCTTGTCCGTCAAAATGGTACCCTGGGTGCCAGAGGTTCTTCCACGCTCGTAGGGGGGGGGGATAATGAGGGATACACGAGGATTCAAGCTGCGAATCCTCGTGTATCCCTCATTATCTCCCCTACGAGCGTGGTGGGAAGAACCTCTGGCACCCAGGGTACTAAAATGGCGCTTACTGCCAAAATGGCCAAAATGCGTGATTGCTCCACTGGATTGCTCACGTTTCATGACGTGGATTACACTTACTGCCAAAATGGCGGCCAACGCGTGCTCATAAAAAATCGCGGACACAATTTTGGCTGAGTGAGACATCTGGTACAATCTATCATCTGTGCTGTGACCCTCCGATTATCCACCAATCCCAGAAATCTAACTCTCTTGATATACTAGCTGTACTGTACTGTACTGTACTGTACTGTACTGTACTGTACTGTACTGTACTGTCTTGTTTTGAATTTCCTTGATATTAATGTTAATATACTTCTGTATTTCAGGCGATCTGTCTGTCTGCCACTCGGTTTATAGCACATTTAGTGAACCAGCAAGTTGTAAGTATTACTGACCAAATATGTTATATATAGGGATAGAAATAATTGCCAATGATGATTAACCCATTACTGGGTCTGAAATTTGCAGTATCCCGATATCCAAAGTTTGACTCAGGGTGCGATAATTCGCGTACTTACGTACCGGGGGTACGCCGATATTACGGTCTGGTACTTGTAATATTTTAATTTTGGAATAGGTAATAGGACCTCTACATGCGTCTTGGACCTGTTTGCTTGTAATCCTTATTTATCTAATGGATTTCTTTTATATTAAACAGGGTCTTGAAAGTAGACCGTGCCGCAAAAATTTTGTATAAAAGGTGCACGCGTATTATGCGTGCGTTGTTTTTCATCTTATTATGTAAATCCATTGTAGAAATATCGTAATTGAAGTTAGCATGTACTGTATGTAAAGTTATTACTTGGTAATTGATAGGTGTAAATTGATGATGCACATGAATTTATCACAGGGTCGGATTTGACCATACTGCGATATTACAAATTTAGAATTGGTAACAGGACTTGTGATTTTGTGTTTTGTAATTTTTCCTGTATCTGGTATGAATAAATGGTTGTTTTCAACCGAGTACCACGTATACTCGTATAGGTACGCAGTGCTCTCGCTATCTGCGTACTTGCATTTTGCTGGTACCATATGACCACCAAACTTCCTATATTCAAAACCATGTTTAAGTGATAGCTATAGGTTGGAGTCAATTGGATATGTTTGTACATGCATTCAGGGATGGCAAAATTTGTGGTAACCAGTATCCAATGCAGTTTTCATATTTGTTTTAGGCTCATGAAATTCTAGCTTTAGAGATTCTTACATTGTTGCTACAGACACCAACAGATGACAGTGTAGAATTATGTGTAAGTATAGCAACCTTGTATTCGTAAAGAAGAGTGATGTAAAGTTGTCATTTCATTAATTTTTTACTATGAAAAAGTTAAATATTGCGTGAAATTTTAGGCAAAAATGTTTGAAGAACTAAGATTTCCAGCTACAAAAGATGGTCGTATGCTGGCAACTTAGTTGCATTCCCCCTTTCCCCAATCCCCCAATATCCCCCCAATATCCCCCCAAGCGTCCAACACTGTCATAACATGTATATACATTGCTTGTATGTTATACTCTGAGTGTATATCCACACCGGGCAGGCTTGAAAAATATGCCTGGCCACGGTGGGAATCGAACCTACGACCTTTGGAACACTAGCCCAAGGCGTAAAAAAAACAAACCTGTGGTTCCGGTTTCATAGCGTGAAAAAATTAGGGTCGGTAGGTTGGAAATAAATTTTTTTTTTGAATATTTTTTTCATGGTTTTGGCGTGGTTTTTTGCTGGGCGATTTGCAGTAGAGTCCCGACATCAATATTAACTAGAGATGCGTATTTCCTATGGACGAATTTAGGCAATTTGGTTCAATAATTAATGTGACAACAGACGCCATTTTGGCATGCTGTATGAGCAGACCGCAACCACCTGGAGAAAATAGGGTCGCACGGTCAATCGCGTTGAAAAAATAATAGGATCGGCAGAAAAAAATAGGGTCGGTCGGGAACCGGAACCACAGGTATTTTTTTTTACGCCCAATGCTCTGCCAACTGAGCTACGCGGTCAGGTCGGTTCGAGTATGCGATATTTCGGAACTGAGTCTAGTTCCTTCGATATCAGTGTAATCTAATAATCATGATATTTGCTGTGTTGGTGTAATGTTCTCAGGTCAATAAGATGCGTGTGCACACAAGCATGTTATTCACCTGAGTACATTACACCAACACAGCAAATATGTATATACAAATGTATATACGTTGCCATTTACAAATTTTCCCATCGTATTCTAGATTGCTTTTCTTAAAGAATGTGGAATGAAACTCACAGATGTTACCCCCCGGGGAATTAACGGTAAGATACATGATTGCAGTGTATATAGTTTTGTAACAGTTTAGAACTGTTAGAGCTATCCAGTATAAGATAAAGTGTGTTACTGGATCTCTAGCAAGAACAGTTTCGAACTGATAGAGATATCCAGTATAAATAAAGTTAGTTTAGGTTTCCTCCTGTAATAACACTGGATCAATAAGCGATGATCCTTACTGGACCTCTAGGGAGAACAGTTTAGAACTGATAAAACTATCCAGTATGAATAAAGTTACTTTAGTTTAGGTTTCCTCCTGTAGTAACACTGGATCAATAAGAGACGACTCTTATTGGACCTCTTGGGAGAACAGTTTAGAACTGACAGTGCCATCCAGTATAAATATAGTGACTTTAGTTTAGGTTTCCTCCTGTAGTAACACTGGATCAATAAGAGATGATCGTTACTGGACGGACCTCTATAGGGAGAACAGTTTTAGAACTGATAGAGATATCCAGTATAAATAAAGTTAGTTTAGTTTAGGTTTCCTCCTGTAGTAACACTGGATCAATAAGAGATGATCCTTACTGGACCTCTAGGAAGAATAGTTCAGAACTGATAGAGCTATCCAGTATAAATAAAGTTAAT